GCAAGGGAAAAGGGAGTAAGACCAAGAGGGCTGTGGGGGAAAGAGGGGTACGGGGTGAGAGAACAGAGGAGGGGAGGGGAATAAAAAGAGGATCAAAGCCGAAAGAGAAGAGAGCAGGGAGGAGGGGGGGCAGGGGTGGGGGCAAAGTGAGGGCTGGACAGATGCGAGATTAACGTCACAGGGAGCAAGGGGAAGAGGGGGAAGAGGGCGGAGGGGTGGGGCATGGGGAATGGGGAGGGGAGGGTAAGGGATGGGGTGAAACATCAACAGGGGGGCACGTGTCACAAGGAGAGGGGATAGGGGTGAGGCTCGAGGTCGGCACAAAGCGCGGAGAGCCGTCAAGCGCTGGGGGAGGGGAGGGCGGGAGCCCTTCTGACGAGGTCGGTGGCAGCAGAGGACGCTGACGAGCCGACATGCTTAGAGACGCGTGGCAAGAGGGCGGCGGGGATAGCAACGAGAGGGACGGCTCGTTTATAGCAATGTGGTCCATGTGGTCTGTCGAGGGAGGCTGGGGCAGAAGAGGAAGAGGAGGTGTCCCATCACCTGCCACTTGGTCAGAACTAGGGGGCGATAGGGGGCAGGTGAATGTTGGACAAGGCAAGGAAGGTCCAGCGGATGGAGTGGAAAAAAAACCCTGTTGGACAAGTTGACAAAAAGGAGCAAGCAGGTCAAGGTCCGGATTAGAGAGGGAGGGGTTTACGTCTAGAAGGGGTGGGCTGCAGGGGGAGTGGAGAAGGAGGGGCCGGGCAGTTAGTCTCAACCCGAGGAAGACCATTTAGTAGAGAACATCAGTGTGGCGAGTTGTGACGACCTGACTTATTACCGCCCTGGTTAGGGGGAGGCACCGAGAGTCTGCGTTTGTGGCTCTTTTTCCTAGTTACCACCGACCAGAAGGAAAATTTTTCCAGCGACGGAGCAGGAGCCGGGTGACGAAAATAACAGGCAGAGGGCAGGGAAGCATGTAACCGTCAGCTTCAATCTAGATAGATTTTGGGATCCGGGAGGGGTCGAGAACCTCCAAAAGGAGGCGGATGGAGCCCAACGGAAGGGATTCCATGGAACTCTAGTGGATAGAGATGAGGGATCCGCAAGCAGCTGCGAGATTGGGAAAGGTATCAGGGGACCAAAAGTGAAGGGGGATGCGAGACAGGGTGAGCCAAATGCGCTGATTTTTGTAAACCCCTTCCGTGGGGGACCATTTCCAGAGGGAACACGAAGCTCCGTTGAAGAAGAGGCCAGACGAGTCAGTGAGGGCACCTTGGGCACTTTCAGATGAGGGGAAGGAGAACAAAAATTCCCCACTAGAAAGGCAACTGCAAATAAGGTTGGGCTCCATCCAGTGGTATTTGGCCCAATCTTCAATCCCTCTAAGATCATCACACATGGGCTCAAAACTACCTATGAGAGAGGCTGAGAGTCTGGATTTAAGGGCTGCAAAGTCCACAGGGGCAGCAGTGATGCAAAAAGGAAGGATAGGGGAAGAGCCCAAAGGGTTCAAGGGCAAGAGGTCAGACGGGTGATGGAGGACTAGCTCAAAGAGGAAAGGGGGGAGGGGGGGCTATCTTGGCTGGAACGGATGAAGCAATGATATTAGCGAAGGAAGGCTCGAGGCCAAGGGGCCGAGGAGTCTTCAAAGAAAGAAGGGATGGGGGATAGGAGGAAAGATGCGCCTGAAGGTGGTTTGAAGCCAGTTCAAGAGGGGGCCACGGGAGCGAGGAGCCTGCGGCCGAGAAGTCGCAGGTCTAGTTTTCTTGGCGGAAGACTTGGGGGAGCGAGGAGCCAGTTCGAGAGGGGGCCACAGGAGCGAGGAGCCTGTAGACGAGAAGTCACAGGTCTAGCTTTCATGGCGGAAGACTTGGGGGAGCGAGGAGCCAGTTCGAGAGGGGGCCACAAGAGTGAGGAGCCTGCTAACGAGAAGTCGCAGGTCTAGCTTTCATGGCGGAAGACTTGGGGGAGCGAGGAGCCAATTCGAGAGGGGGCCACCTTGGACACTGAGTTTCATATCGATTCTTGTATGTTGGTCCTATTATGGAACTTGAACTTTGCACAACATGATGACACCAACTGAAACGGATGCCAATTTGACGTGGAAGCTCATCAAAATATGTATTTAGAGTTGTTTTCTGAGAGGCATCAATATTGGTTCATATTTTTGGGGAATATAGCTGCCAAATTTTCTTGCCCCACAAGTGTTCCTTATCTCGTGCCTAAAGAAGAAGTTTGCTGTCCAAGGACTAATATCTAGTCAGCCAATGGATTTTATTACATATTTAGAATGTAAATTGGGGGTTTTAAATGTCACAAACATTACATGGTTATCAAACAAAAACTAGCTTTCATGTTTATTAGTTCACCATGAGTTGAGATTGTAGTCTTCTGAAATCAAAGGAGTCATATTCTAGGAGAACGTGCTTTGCACCTTTTCTGTTTCACCTTTCAAAATGATATCTTTTTTTTAGTGAAATTGACACCCTTCCAAAATGATATCTTGAGCTAAATTTGTAGTGGTTTCGATCCAATATAGAAGCATGTCATGGAAATGGAAATACTTGGCACATTGAAGAGGGACATGCAATAAATGGGAGTGCTGGTTAGGGTGGATTTAATGAGGGTGATTCTACCCCCAAAGGAAAAGAATCGTTCCAACCAGCAAATTTCCAGTTGAATTTCTAAACCATACCCAAACTTACCATACATTTACACTATCAACCCTTCCCATATATACTTTCTATATTAACCCGATACATAATATACACTTTCTTTTTACAATTCTCGACAAAAACAATCGCCTTTCAATTAGAGTAAATTAGAATCCCTATTTTTGTGCCAACAGTTTTTTCACTGGCCCATCGATTTGTGTATATATCGTTGAGGAGGTTCACGATTACCTCCATTGGGATGCTTCTGGCAAATAGGTTATTCCATTAACTCGGAAGTTTTGCGTTCCACCTTCTCTTCTATCATGCATTTTTCGCAATAAGTTAATCGACCTTTACACGAGCATGTCTTTAGATCAACTTTTGATTGAAAGGTATGTTCGACTGATTTTTCTGAGGATCTCTTCACGCTTTCCTCTTGTGCTTGCAGAGAACTCGTTAGAAGATTCAAAGACAAAGAGTAGAATCTTTGGATACCTCAATTGCAATTACAATGTGATCAAATTTAGGAGTAAGGCCTTGTCAAAACCTTTCCAACTACTTTTTGATCATTTAATAATTCAGCAAGAAATCTAAATTGATTTACATTGGAAGAAAGTGTCATGCTTGCTTTGATGTTTTAGTTGAAGTTGTTTTTGGAAATATGGTCTCATCCACAACCTCTTCAATGTAAAACAAGCCCTTGGCATCCTGCTTTTTTATTCCTCTAGCTCCGCATGATGGGCTACAATAAGCAGTATCATCGAATTCGCTTCACTTCGCCGAAGCCATTTAGACTGAAGCGAAGCGAAGTTTGGTGCTGACGCTTCGATTATATTCAAGCCGCTTAGGGATGCTTCAGTCATATTCAAGTTTGCTACAGGCCAATTAGGCCGAAGTAAAGCAATATCTAAATTTTTTATTTTTTGAAATTTTTATTTTTACTTTTTTATTTTTATTTTTATATATTTTAGATATAAATATCTAATTTACTTATATTAAATTTTAAAAAATCCGAAGTCTTCCTCCGAATTAGCCAAAGCACCAAATTATTCATTTGTCTCACCAAACCAAAAAACACTCTGAAACGAATCTGACAACATTGACAATAAGCCTTATTTATTGTCAAACTTTTTTTTGTCCTTTTTTTGAGTAAGTCCGTGGTAGGAACAAAGAAGAGATGTATCACTGCTAAAGTCACACTTAAGCCCAATACCGATTCTTTATAATACTAATTGAAAAAAAAGAAGAAGGTTTTTTTGGGTAGGTCGAATCAAACTTGAGAACTATTGTCATACTTTGACTATCCATTCTCAACTAGTTCCCATAAATCATAATGACTGAACATAATTTTTCATTTTAATGCTCCAAAACTTATTGGAACCATTTTTTGGAGAAATACTGACAGCATTCTAGTGCCTGCCATTGTTGTTACCTTGTCTTTCCTTTTTGTTTTCTTCTTTCTTTCTACTTCTTCAATCCATTCATGTCAATCAACCTCAACTTCTAATGAACCTTGCGCTGATACCAAATGTTGTTGGGTTCTAAATGCACAAGTTATTATAAGAGAGAAGATAAAATAACGAGAAAACCCTTCATTCACCTTTTTTTTTATGGAATTAAGTACAAACGCACCCCACACGTTCACCCCCTCAGCTCACTTTGTTTGTAGTATGCCTCTTTAAATAGAAATTCATACTGCTGATTGAGAAGTAGCTTGTACCCCACTTATAGGGGTGGCAATGGACTCGGAGACCAGACATCCGGACCTGACCCAACTCGGGTTTAGGTAAAGGTCCAAGAATTGGACCAAAATATTGGACATGAGCACTATTCGGGTCCGGGTTCAAATATTGGACTCGAACACTATTTGGGTGTAAATCCATGTGGACCCAACCCAAATAGTGTTATTATATAAATAATATTTAATTAAACATAATTATCTATTTTTTGTTATAATATTTAAATAATATTTGTATATATTTAACATGATATTTAAATGTATCTATTTTATTTTTGGGTTGGGTTCAATCAGATCCAGATGGGTCCATGTCTAGTCGGGTCCAATATCGGGTCCAGGTCCGATAACTTTGAACATGATCTTGGGTTTGACCCGATATGTTGCCACCTCTACCCATTTACAGCAATAACTTCCCACTAACACCAAATGTTTGTCTCACTTACAATAACTAACTTAGTATTACTGACAACCCCCCTGTAATTGAAAGAAAGTTTATATATAGGCGAGGCTCTAAATAATTAATTTAAGACGCACCTCAAAAATTCACTTAAGCAATAAAACAATTAATTTAGGATGCACCTCAAAAATTCACTTACGCAATAAGCTACCATTAATACTTACAAAGAGACAATGGTGCATAACAACCAATCCATTAGGTAGAACATGTGATAACCACTACATCATTAAGGGTGTGTTTGATGCCTGGACTTTTGGAGTGGGAGGGAGTCTCCCACAAATTATGGATGACCGCTCTTCCAACAATTTCAGAAGGGTGACGTTTCAAATACAGATCAGTTTTGATGCTAAAAAAAATTATTGTCTGGAAGGCTGCACTTCCACACAGCGACTTCCATGCAGCGAAATCAAACAAGGAAGTGGGACGTTTAATTCTTGCTTCCAAAAATTCCCTAAAATCAAACACGCCTAGTGGTTAGTAACAAAAATAGTATGAATTAGAGGATACTTGCTAATGCAGCTTTTTCACTGGTGAGTACATTTGTACATGCAATGCCATCACATATCATTCATATGATAAACAGTAGATCATATGTTTGGAAATAAGTTAGTAGTGGAAAGGTTTGCTTACTAGCTTATATCAACGCCTTATTGAATTCTTGTGAAGCATGACTCATGTTTTGGTCCCTGAAATGGGATTCTGTATAGCTCCAACCGACCTTCAGTTGAACAATGTTCCTGATTATCACAATAACAAATAAATGTTACCCAAACGAATCATCACATTTTTAGTCAAGGTGGTATCAGCTGGTTTTAATAGCATTATGTTTCAAGTTCCATTTCTATGTAACCTTCCATATGAACTGTGAAGTTAAATGTACCTGAAAAAGAGCAGTACTAGGATGGGTGACTTCCCAGGAAGTCCTTGTGCTGCATCCATTTATGGGTAGGGGTTCGTCATCCCCACTGATTTACTTACGAGTAGAGGCCTGTCATCCCCACCAATTCACCCAAAACTAAAAATAAAAAAGAAAAAAAACATTAACTCACCCCAAAAAGAATTATCACATTCGAGAGCCAATTACTATATATTTTATGGGTTTGCTTTTACTCAGATGATATTTATTAGGAAAAGGTTTAGGGTCATGGTGGTAGCCGCCCCACCCCCACCCCCACCCCCACCCCCACCCCCTACACACACACTCTAGTTACCCATGTTGTGGTTTTCATTTTCATTGAGATTACCTCACTGACACCTTTCAAAAACTACCTCCTAAACTATTTGAAAAAATAGATAGGAGCCTTTCATCCCCACCAAATTACCCAAAAAAACATGATGATGCTTATTTTGTTATTGCCTCTAATGAGGCAGCGAAGCAACGTGATATTGGCGCGGCTCAATCTGATTATAAGACCTGCTCTTCTAAGGACTTCTCATCTGATTGAGCCGTTCCAATACCACGATTCGAGTTCCATGTTAATGGAGATATCTCCTCCCATTGGTTTTGAAATCCTCTATTGATTTTGAAATACTCTATTGATGGTGATGATATGTCGATGGGATTCATGGCCGTGATCACCGTAATAAATGTCACCAGCTGAATGGATGGATTATGAGGACGACGATGATGATGTTCAAGAAATTGAATGGTAATGAAGATGGCTATAAAATGAAATAAATGCTCATCAATCAAATTGAATGTAGGGGTGGGGTGGGGTGTAGAAATAAGGAGGGTGCAAGGGAACAGTTGAGTTGTCAAAATCATGAATTCAAACAAGAATGAAAGGGTCATGAAATGGAAATGGGTAGAGAGAGAGTGGTTGAGGAAAGAGAAAGGCAGGCTTATTTTAGTTTTAGTTGAGTGTTTGGTCAGCTAAGGACGAGGACAAGTTCCAGATTCCCACCAATAGACTTCTCCAACCAGAGATCACCCACTTCTGTCTCATGCTCCAACGGCTACCAAAATCCTTTTGAAAGGAAAACTAATTGACTTGCAATGATTTTATAACCATTTCGAGTAATATGATTTGAATAAATAACTAAAAACTAACCTTGCTCTTTATTTAAAATCTGTACGCCAGTCGCACCTCAAAAAGGTCATTTGGATGCTAAAAAATCTTCAAATTTATCATCTAGACCTCAAGATGCATGGACTTGAGAAAAATTCCATTTCAAGTCTTGGAAACAGTCTATCTTGTAACGTATTTTTGAAATGTCAATTTTTAAGATTTTTCAAGTGTTATGTTTGATATACATTATTTTTGGAGCTTTAAACTTTATAATTAGATATAAAAATAAAGTTTCAAACCAACATAGAGATTTTCAAGACCGAAAATCATATTCCAGTACTATTTAAAGGTGCGCCTTACTGTCACCTACTCGGGCCTCAGCCCTATACAAACCACACCGATCGGATTGTTTCATTGATTATTTGGGGCCTCATCCCTATACAAACCACACCCATCGGATTGTTTCATAATCTTTTTGTATATAATTTGGATGTATTTATCAAAGATCGGTGAGTGTTTTTTTTATTTTTCTCTTCTTTTAAAATTTTTAAAACCATCCCAAATTGTAAATCAGTTTTTTTTTAAATCTATTTTTGAAATCTCTCACGCTCTCTTTGTGGGCCTGTTTAGGGTTACAGTGTCTACAGAGAGAGAGACCTTTCCATGAGTAGTAGGATACTTGACATCACCTTAAGGATCATCATACTCATTATTTTAAATAAAGATGGTGGGTGGTTAATTAGGTTTTTATAAGCGTTTGGACTAATGGCAGTCTTAACATTTTCTCTCTCTTCATAAAAAAGATACTTTCTACAGTCGCCTCAACAGAACGTACCACCTTCCATTCCCACTGTTAATACATTAAAACGTATTATAATAAAATTGAAGGGCTGCCTCAGACCTTCACAATTTACAAGTATAAAAGAAAATTGAATTGAAATATTCCTTTAGGAAGCATATAGAGAGTGGGGGAAAATAATTGTCCTTTAACAAAAAGCAACAAATGCTTCTAAAATCTTGTATTAGATTGGAATGCGTCCAAGGCTCCAGCATTAGCAAAGGGCAACTGGTGGAGACCAGTGGCCTACCACCAATAGTTGAGAACTGGGTCCTGGACCATGTCTTATATGATCTATTACCTTTCCAATTCCCAATTTCCTTGAATAAATTCAATAATTTCGATGTGTGAGCATTCTTCATTTGTTTTGATTCCTCTTTATTTGTTAATCATATTATTATACTTCATAATTCATGGATAATAATTCGTGGATACATAATGTGCTATTTTGTAAGGGATTGTATACAATGAGACCATTTACTTTTGATACAAGGTGGTCACAATAAATTTAATAGCGTGGATGTGTCATAAAGTTCAAAAAAATTTCTTTTGAAGTTTGAGCTTGGACAATAGAATAATTGCAACCACCCAATTTCATTTAAAAGGTGCAGGCCTAGGCATGTGAAAAAAAATTAAAGCCTCAACTCAACTTTATCTTGAAAACACTTGAGAAAAACCCCTCAATGATGGCTTTAAAATCTAATTCTACCACTAATTATGAAATTTGTTATTAAAAAATTGGTACCATCTCACCAATCTATGAATACTTGAAAATGGACAGCCTACATAACATGTTCTAATATACACTATTTTTAGGGATTGAAATTATTTTATTCATGATAGTCAAGATCGAGAGATCGATTTGAAGGTTTTCAAAGTTCAAAACTACAATGTTCAGTGAGACCTGAGACTTGACTTTACTTTTCTAATAAAGACTAGGCCTTATTTAACCTTTTCTTTTATAAAAACAAAATGTTATATGGTCAAACATTTCATCAAAATAAAAACTATGTTGTGTATTATATGTTCTTCAATATCCAGTTTTCAACATCAAATAAGATCAGCATGCAAGGCACTATCTGATAGCAAGGAAAGTTCAATTTACCACATGCATATGAATCCATGGTTCAAACTTCCAAAAGACAAGTTTTCTTTGGAAAACATGACTCATAAATGAAGAGGATTTCTCCTTCATATTAGACCACAATTCAAATACTGAAGTTTAACTTTAATTCCTTGGTAGTATGGAAAAACAAGAAGCATCTCTCTCACTACCCCACATTGCACTTAGTGACGAAGGGTATGGAACAAAATTCAGATTTCCATTCCTCCACTGAATCTACCTGCATTCCTGGTTTTGATTTAACCTACAAAAGATGGGACAAAGACTAACTACAACAAGATAGCACAAATAAAACCTGCCAAATGAAGGCCATGGCAACCCCTTTGGCCTTTCCTCAGTCCTTACTCTTCATCACAGAACATAAAGACTAACCAGTTTCTCTCTCCAATTCTACAAACAATAAAGTTCTTAAAAGACCATGGTGAAAGAACAGTTAGTGGTGGGGCTTATTCTTTTTAGGGAAACCCAAAGGGTGATGAAGCTTAAAAGAGGAATAGAAAGTGATTTCTTCATCTTCACCACATCCAAATAGACTGTGAATAATGGAAAAATTAAAAGAAATGGCTTCCTTAGGTCATTAATGGCAGCTGCGAGCTTGGGTATCTCCATGATCTCTATAAAAATTATGTATGATTTTTAGCAAATATATAATGCTTAAAATTCCTAGAATTATTTATTATGTTTTAAATATTTTTATTAAAAAATTATAAAAAATATTTGCTATGTAATTATGTTATGAATAATTTTTCGAGATTCTTTGTTTTGTGGACTATTTCTTCTTTTCAATATGTCGATAAATTTGATATTGTTATCTTTATATGATATTTCATTTAGTTTTTATATGATATTTCATTCCTTTGGTGAACATTGAGTGTTCTGAAATAAAGAGTTTCTCTCGTTTCGACTAAATTAAGGATAGACATGCTTTCTATTTTGTGTTAGTTGTTTTACTCTTATTTTTATTCAATAATTCTAAATATTTTATTATTTATCGTTTGGATTAGTCTACAACTACCAACAAAAATAAGGGAAAGGTTTATATGCTTTTCCTACAGAATAGGAGTTCTATCCTCCCCCAACTATCCAAGTGTCTAATTTTGATCTAGAGAGCCATTCACCGTTTGAGCTTAGATCCGACGTTTCAAAGTTTTTTTTTTTATACAATTTGTATGAATATGAAATTTGGTACGTGCCATCTTTTATTTGGGGCGCACCTATAAAAAATATTAAAATTAAATTTTCGATAAAATATAATAACCAAAATACCCTTTACAGCTTTCAAGGGTATTTTGGTCATTGTTTTATTGAAAATATTTTTTTTATATTTTTTACTAGTGCAAGTTTAATAAAGGAATGAACGTACAAAATTTGGTGTCAAAATAGTTTATTGAAAAAAAAATTAAAAATAAAATAGTGTAGAGATGTGACATTGTGATTGGGACAATTTTAGCCCTCCATTCAGAATGGACGGTTGAATAAGGGGAAGGATAGAGCTTCTATGCTGTAAGGGAAGCATAGAAAGCTTGCCCCAAAAATAATATCAATTTTAAACTATTTCATTATCTTATTTCTAAACTTTAATTGGCAAGCTTTCTGTGCTTGCCCTACAGCATAAAACTTTTATACTTCTCCTTATCCAACTGTCCATTCTGAATGGACGGCTAAAATGGCTCCAATCACAATGTCACGTCTCTACATGATTTTATTTTTAATATTTTTTTGCCAAATATTTTGACACCATAGTTTGGGCGTCCAATCATCTCTTAAAATCGCATTAATAAAAAATATTATAAATAAAATTAAATCACCAAAATACCCCTAAAAATTTTAAGGGGTATTTTGGTTATTATATTTTATTAAAAAAATATTTTAAATTTTTTTTTAGGTGTGCCCAAATGAAAAGATGAGTCGTACCAAATTTCACATTATACAACATGTATAAAAAAAATTAAAAATAAAATACTCTGAGGCATCGGATCTAAATCAAATAGTGAGTGGCTCACTTGATCAAAATTGAACGGCTGGATAGTAGGGGAAGCATAGATCTTCTATGTTGTAGGGGAAGTATAGAAACCTTTCCCAACTTTAATAGCTTAAGTTCTTTATCAGTAATTCATAATTTTACATAAAAATTATTATGCTTTGTAAATAAGTGAACTAAATT